GAATGCATAGCATATATATTTATTATGTTAGACAGGATGATGAAGCAATCCTTGATTGAATGATTTTCCAACGTAAACATACAAACTTAGGAGCTAAAATGTTTATTTTCTTATCTTAATGTTTATTATCTTAATGTTTTCGATACATCCACACTAATAAATCATCAGTATTCGTCACATGGCTCATTTCGGTTCCTTACAGTGCATTTTGCGAGAGCTTTGACCTTTTTGTGGTGGAAACTTTAATGGTATTAAGAGAGATAAGAGAACAATATCTGATATGTACTCATCGAATAATAATAATGAATTCAAAGTTTTCTCAATAAAGAGAATAATGATATTATTGTATATAATTATGTTCATAATTGGTCGATCATTCGAGTAATTAATCACCAAAGCATTAAAATAAACTGATATTAATAGAAATAATTTATATTGCAAATAATTAATAATTTTATAATTTTAATTATTTTATCATTTTACTTTTCACATATATAAAACGGCATTAGTTGTTATCATTTTAATGCATTAATATAAATATAAAAAATTTTAATTTTTTCTCTTAATTTTAATGGTTTTCGTTTAAATAAGCAAGCAAGAAAGTCACGAATCAAAATTATTTAAAAAATATTTTTTTCAAATTTTTTCTAGAGTTAAAAATTTATTAAAAACATAAGAGAGTTGCGATTATATAGTATATAAATTTTATACTAAATTAAGTTGGTATTTTAAAAATGCATTCTTAATCGTCGCTTTCTTGAATGTATTATTAAACTTTCTCCGAATCTTCTTAAGTTTATATGCTAGTAAGAACATACTCCGATGACTATAAAAATAAAGATTCTATAATTTTTTTTCTCATGAACCGATCGCCTTCAATTTTTTATCTGGAAACAAAATTGTAAAACATCGATATTTCCCATGAAAATAACATTTTTCTCAATATCTCTCATTTTTCAGTTTGAAATATAATTATTTGAAAGAGAATGTGTGTCTAAAAATTTATTGTACGTAAAATCAAGTAATATTTTTCTAATTTTCATTAATATCTTGTATGAACTTGTAAAACAAAAATTCTTAGAGAGAAATATACATGTATATACTATATACACTGAGGGAAAAATTTTTTTAAATAAAATAAATTTGTTTTCTTGAAACTTGCTTTAAATGCAAGGAATTGTTTCTTTCATTTAAGCAAAAGCATTTAATTTTAATTAAATATGCATGTTATATTAAGTACATTATTTTCATTTATATATTTTTTATTTAAATACTATTTTCATAAAATATATACTATTTATTAAATTAAATATATTATTTTTTAAAATTAAAAAATTTAAAATTTTTGGGAATAAAAAATACATTTTAATAAATATTTTGTAAAATTAAAATAAAAATATTTCATTAAAAATTATATTTTTTTAAGCATATATATTTTTTTAAACATATGTAAATAAATACTTGACTTAAGCAAACAGACGTTTTGAATACAAGTAAATGCGTGATTAGTACCCACCGAATAAATAGCTTTCTTGAGTTAACTAAAATTTTTTTATTTCAAGATAATTTTTTCTTCAGTGTATGTATAACATGTAAAGTTTAGTCTGTGTACGCAACATTAACGACTACAACTCATCTGAATTTCGGTTTTCGATTGCTAGTGAGAGGCTTTGTACATTTCTCTCGGGAGAAAGGCTAAACATATTGCCGCGTGATCTAGATGCTCTCTCAACACGTTGTCATCACGTGCCGCTAATCATCAGACACAATATTGAAGCTGCGATTCGCGCATTGAAACGTGTGAAGTATCGATTAGCGTACGATTAAGTAACTCATGTCATTCTTTTTATAAATTGTTTATATCAAATCGATGCAATAAGTTATAAATATTATTATTATCATTAAAAACGTGAGAAAACGCTAGATGCAAATAATTCTCTTGTAATTTGTTTTAATAATTTGTTTTAATGTTGTATTAAATTTTTTTACACTATATCTGAGGCTTTTTTAGATTATGTTATTATTTATAAATTTTAGAGTTTTTTTATTTATCTCTAAATTAATAAAAGATATAGATCTTAACATTTGTTAATATTAATATTAAAATTGAAAGAAAATATTTATTATTGTATGTATACATATACTGATTTATTATATAAATTGAGATGTCATATGTATGCGACACGTGATAACAGGAAACGTTAATATGAGAAGCGAATGATCAATATACAATAATCAATATCAACTAACGTAAGAGATTGTTTAAATGAAATTGACCTATATTAATGACCAATAAAATCTTCTTCAAATTGAAATACAATTTTTTAAAAGAGGATATTATATCTGTGGAAACCTGTCGTAAGATTAAGTAATATTTTCTAATTTTTATATTTGACATTTTGTACAAAAATAAATATTTGCATATAAAATAGAAATTTGCCGAGAGAAATATGAATTGAATATAAAGTCGAAAAAATAAAGACGAAAATATAAAGTCTAATTTGTGTTCATCTGCAGCATCAGTGATTACGAATCATCTTGAATTTCCATTTTCGATTGCGGAAACAATATATGGAAATTTTTCATAATAAATATAAGCATATGTGTTTTATGCTACTAATTATAATTATAATAATTCGCAATAATTGTGTTACTAATTATAATAATTATAATAATTTTGATGCTTTATATTAATTAGCAATAATTTGCATATTTCTGTAATACTGATTAAGATACTCCGGAGGATTAAAGGAGGATATTTTTTAAAGGATTAAAGGAGGATATTTTTTAAAGGATTAAAGGAGAATATTTTTTAAAGTCTTCTAATCTAAAAATATTAATATAAAAGATATTTTTTAAAGTCTTCTAATCTAAAAATATTAATATAAAAATTATTTATTAACTCTAACATCGAGTGAAAAAACGTGATTTGTTATTTACAATCACGTACACTCTGATATTTTAAATGTAAAATTCCCATATCAAGTTTTTTTGATAATAAAAATAAAATATCACGCCACTTCAAAAATATCTTTCGTAATATTGATAAGAATATCTATGTAAGTCATAATCATGGAAATTAAGGCATTTATGATGGACAGTGTTTCTCATCTTTTCTTTTTTCTTTGTTCTCTTTCTACTCTTTGTCTCTTTTTTTCTTTAGAATTTTATAATTTTTGTATTTTCCAAAATGTGTGTGTAATGTATAATATATGAAAATATTAATTTTAAAAAATTATTATTATTACTAACATAAAAGTTCGAGAGTTTACTTTATTCTTTTTTTTTAAACTGATGCAAATCGAAATGTTCAGCCTACTTAAAGTAATAAAATAATTTAATTATTTAATACTTATATATTAAAACTTTATTACTTCATTATTGCATTAGTACTTAGAAAAATGTTATATGATTGTCAGTTCTATTGTCACATTGACAATTGTAATCTTATAGAAAATACGGAAAAATAATAAACATTACTTGACACATCATCTCTGTTTAATTCACATGCAAAATTATATTTGCTAAAAATAACAATTAAAATCATTAGCTATAAATTAAAAATCATTAATATAAAAAGTCATTAAAAGTCATTAATATAATCATTATTTATATATTAATATAATCATTTAGAGTCAGGTGATATGAAATTATGATTGCGTCATTATTTTCGATATAAACATACTGAATAAATTCAAGTTCAATCAACTTGCATTTATTCAATGCATTTGTACCGGAAATAATGATACAATCATGATTCCATATTATATCTATATCATAGAGCAAAAGAGGCTGAATGGAGGCTGAAAAAGGTGAATTTATGCTAGATGTTAATATTCATTATGGTGCATTCGTGCTGAATATTGCGTCATTCGTACCAATGTTTTTTAAGCTTCAAATTTTAGAAATTTACAAAGAAAAATAAAATTTTTTTTGACTTGCAGGAAATTAATTTTTGTATGAAAATTTATTTTATAAACAATTTTATAAAAATCTATTCTTTGTGTGGTAGGTAATAATCCAAAATATTATTTTTAATTTGTCTATATTTATATACGGGCAAACATTTTTTAAATGAAATATATAAAATTAATTAATCTAATTACTTATTATTTAACGAATATTTGACAAATAATTTAGCATAATGTAGTCTCGAAGTAATTAATTGTTAATTAATCAAATATTTCCTATTAAAATATCAAAATATTTGTGTCACAAGCAAAAATAGACCACAGCAATTTATAAAAATAATAATAAAAAAAAAGTAATTGATATTTATTTAATTCGTAATGTTTACGCGTTGGATTATTTTTTGGAATTCTAATATTAACAATTTTTCTTTCTTTTTAAAAGCTTTTATTTATCCTAAGCGATATATTGAAGGACATATGTATTATTAGTATTAATGCATTTATTGTGAGATTGACTTGTCATTATGATGGATCAAAGTCTCGATAGCTATATGATATGATGATTATTAAATATGCCAATCTTCGATAACATATGCTATTCTTGAACACGTGTATGTACAGATTAGCCTCGCGTGTTTTCCGCTATCTCTTACAATAACGAGTAGTATTTTCGAATTACGTAATATTTCATAGCTCCTCCTTGAATTACAATCGCGAGTAACACAATAATCAGATGCATATCGTTACGAATATCATTGTCGTATTTTTAAAGGCATATAAATTCAAAAAAAATTCTTGATTTATAATTCTCTTAATTCTAATTAATTTATTTTAATTATTAATTTATTTTATTTTATAAACATTTTAGTCTATAACTAATCTTAATTAATCGAATCAATATCTTAATTTTTTGAAAAATAATGTGTCCTCCAATATATCGCATAAATTAGAAGTTTCTAAACAAAAAATAATGCAAATGCCGCGTGACCTTTAAACTATAATTATTCATTACAAAAACGTTAATGATGCAAGAAATAATTGATGTAATACATACATTTTATGAGCGATTACACATTGACTATGTCACAGTCCGGCAGACAAAACATAGAGAGTGCGAAGAAGAGAAACGGCACTCGAGATGAAGATGAGAATCTTAGTACAGAAGAAGAATGCGAGTCGCAAACGATCATGGGAAAAAATTCTACGGTAACATCGAAAAAAGCACAAAACGGCTGTGCAGGCAACTTGGTGATAGCCAGATCAAAGGACTTCATCTTAGTTCCGGAGCCAGAAATGCACAATCATGTTGAAGAATCGAATCTAAAAAATGATCAACAAGAAACATCAATTGATGAAGTTAAAAAGGTAAATTTATAAAGTGAAAAAAATATAAATAACAGATTATATATACTTTCATATATACTTTGTCAAATCTTACGTAAATTGAAAATATTTCTTTAATTATTTAAATATTTTAGGACAGGCTTAACCAGAAAAATTCTTTAGAAACATTAAAAGCCGGATTTGCGCCATCAGGTTGCCTAGATTACATCAGAGCGGGCGTTGAAGCTATTATAGAAGATGAGGTGACGTCGCGATTTGAAGCCGAAGAACTTAAGGTAATGCTTTTTCGAGTCTAAAAAAAAAATAAACTATTTATAATAATAGCTATCGCGCGATTTATTAATGTACGTTTATTAAATATATATATGTCTTTAAATAATTTGTCAATGTATTTTTATGTAGAATTGGAATCTGTTAACACGGACGAATAGATTTTATGAATTTATTTCTTGGAAGTTAACTTTCATATGGATGATCGGATTCGTCATACGCTATTGCTTTCTTCTACCCTTAAGGATATTTATTTGCTTTATAGGGGTAAGTGCAATACTATTTCATATATTATGTGTGCGCTATAATTATAATAATAACATATAATAATGATAATACAATGATAATAGTGATAATAATAATGATAATTATAATAAATATGTAGTAAATGTGAAAGAAATAAGGATTCTTACTTGCATATTCATCTAGCAGTATAAATTTCCTTTAGCTAATAAAAAATTTAGATCGTGAATAGTATCTTTTTGCAGAAGAATATGTACAATAGTTAATTTCACATTTTTTAAATGTTTTAAATTTATAATGCTGTATAGCATATTAAGAGCAGCATACTTATATTAAACATAAATTTAAAGCTGCTATACATACTAATATCAGAGCTTCTTAGTTATTATATCGTAATTGTAACATGTTTAATCGGCATTCTACCGACCGCATAAAACATTAATCGAATAATCAGGCTTTCCTTATTGCGTTCAAAATAATATCACGTTCTATCTTGGATAATCACAATCCATAATTTAGTACAAACCAAAAAACGGAGAAGTATGCGTTGTAAATCATACATCCACTCTCAACATCTACATCTTATGCGTCCTAATGATATTCTCTTTATATATGTAATATATTGTGGATAAGATGGTACATTAACAGATAAATTTTCCAGCTTTTAAGCAATTCGTTATATAGTGTAGTGGCGAATATAATTCTCATCTATCAATGTTTAAAGCGCATTTGCTTCAATTTTACTATTTTGTTATTTTATATATTTGGGAATGTCGTACAGAGACAAAATTGTAAAATATTCTATAATAAAATTGTAATTTATAATTCTTATCATTTTAATCTCTCACTATGTATGCAATAGGCTATATATAATATATATATATATATATATATATATATATATATATATATATATATAGCTAAATGGATAGTATATTTTTAAACAGATAGAAAATATAGAAAATATAAAAATATCTCAATTCTTCATATCTATATCGCGCAATAAAACAATATGATTTTAATCAGTTTACTTTCGTATATGTAACTAGAGATCGAATATTTGTTACTAGTATTACAGAAGTTGTTGCGCATTACTGGTAAGTGTTACAGGTAATGTGTCCTGTAACTTTGGTTTACAGGTAGTACCTACTCAGCAACGATAGAGAGAGGGAATCCCACGTTTCTCAGGTGCAAAGCTTGTGGTTTACAGGTGATGTGGCTGACAGTGTGCACTGCAGTAGTGGGCTACGTTCCGGAGGGTAGCTTCAAGCGGTGGCTGAACTACAAAGTCTCCATAATGTGCTTTGCTGTCTTATCCAGTGCTCTGTCTTCAGTCATCACATACAACAACCCAGAGAACCGACCTGTCAGAGGCATATGTGTTGCTAATCACACGTCTCCCATTGATGTACTTGTACTGATGTGTGATAATTGTTATTCCTTGGTATGTTATTCTTATTATTATGAATTTCATGCTGTTCAAAAATCCTTTAGTAGTTGATTTTTAGCACATATAAAATCAGTTCTTTTTTGTTTTGCTTGCAATAACGTTTTTATAAACATTCCTATAATGATATTACTTCATAATTGCGAAAGCATGCTGGTGTATCTCGTTACTTTATAAATTTATTATCTATATTATTTTATGCATAGTATTGAGTTAAAATGTTTTAGAAATTGTATGCTCCTTTTGATGGTTATAAATTTGTTAGGATATTTAATTTTCTTTAGCGAAAATTGAATGAAAAGTTAACGTTTGTATTATAATGTAAAACATTAGAGATACAAAAACTAAATTTTTAAATTAAATAAAATTAAAAATTTAAATTCCACTTTTAAATTGTTAAAGATATAATTTTTATTTTTCTATATTTTTAATATAATTTAATTAAATTATGATGTTGAGTCTCATTATTAATGTAAACTTCAATATATGTAATTTAAAAGCAGTATACAGCTTCTGAAAGGCAATGCTATGAATTTTAAATATAAATTATCAATAATTCTCTTATTTACATTTCTCATTATAGATAGGTCAGAGACATGGTGGTTTCTTAGGAATATTACAAAGAGCTCTTGCCCGTGCTTCTCCACATATATGGTTTGAACGTTCTGAAGTCAAAGACAGAGAAGCAGTTGCAAAAAGGTGCGATCGTTTAAGCATAATTATACATTTTTTTTTGTTATATTTTATATGACAATATAATTGTTTTAAAATGTTATTATAATTATGTTTTGCACAGATTAAAGAAGCATGTATCAGATCCTACAAATCCACCAATACTCATTTTTCCGGAGGGTACATGTATCAACAATACATCAGTTATGCAATTTAAAAAGGGCAGTTTCGAAGTGGACAGCGTTATTTATCCTGTAGCTATAAAAGTAATTTCTTTTTTTTAAATAAAATGCAAATATATATCCTTTAAAAATATATATCTATTCTTTCTACTCTTTATTTTTTAAATAGTACGATCCAAGATTCGGCGACGCATTTTGGAACAGCAGTCGATATTCGATGATACAATATTTGTACATGATGATGTCGAGCTGGGCAATAGTCTGCGATGTTTGGTATCTTCCTCCAATGTATAGAAAGGAGGGGGAGAGTGCTATCGATTTTGCGAATCGAGTGAAATCTGTGATAGCGCGACAAGGTGGACTCGTCGATTTGCAATGGTAATATTCGTTTAATTCAAAAACATTTTTTTTTATTAAGAAATGAAAATATTATATACATATATATTCATCAAATAATTATACGCATATTTCTTTCATGAATGGCAGGGATGGTCAATTGAAGAGGATGAAGCCAAAGAAGGAATGGAGGGAAAAGCAGCAAGAAGAATTCAGTAAACGATTTAAAGTTGAATGAAAAATAAACTCATTGTTTCTAGTCACTTCAAACATTTCATAATGCAAATATTGCGTGTTATTTGTTTGTTTAAACAAAATAATTTCATTCAATTGGCTCGTTTATCACATATTGTTTTTCTGCATTCATTATCATCACCACCGACAAGATACTATTAAAGACCGATGATCTTATGGGACTTAGCGTAACCAGAAAAAAACGTGCAAAATGTTACTGTAGGTAACAAAATCTTTACATTGTCGATAATAAAATAACGATTTTATACATAATTTGTCATTTTTAAAACAGATATATAAAAGATTTATATATTTTCGATAATAAAACAATAGCAGAATGATCTAAAATACTCGCATGATTTAAATAACTCTTGTAATTGTCTTCAATATAATCAAAACGGCTGATAATATCATCAATCTTCTATTATCTTCGGGCCCACCGGGCCCACTTGGTGATTACGAAAATTTACCCAGGGCTGTCGGTCTTTAACAGTATCTCGTCGGTGTCATCACTAAGAAAATTTGTTACATTAAGTTTTAATATAGATCTTTTTGCAGATATGACTGTTTGCATTTTCTTGTCAAATTTCTAGATGAAAATAGAGTGACAACTGTAATTTTGATGCGCGCAGAAACGTATTGCTGTATGTACATTTATAATTATGTAAATGTAAATTTTAAGTTAATTTTTATGCGATATAGCTGGCTAGATGCGTTGACGGTTTCCAGTTTTCATCTAGAAGTTCTTAAAAAGTGCAAACATTATTATTTGCTAGTTTTTAATGTTAATAATATCAAATGATTGTAAAAGCATTACGAATTATTTATATATGTGAAATGTGTAATTATGTTAAAATATGTGATACTTTTTTGCATGTATGAATGTATGGATAGCATCAAAATCTTTCCAATTCATACATATTTCAATTTCCAAAATTACCAGATAATTGAAGACGATGCATTAATTTTCTCTTAACTATAAAAATAGTAGGGGAAAATATAGTTTCTGCTGTAAAATATTTTTAACACAAAAAAAAAAAATATTTATTTATTTTCCTGAAGAAGACTTAACAGAATAGCAAATATAGCACTTTGGATATTAATTATTCTTTAGAAACATTATTGTTATTTTTCTATTAAAACTCTGAATAACATTTCGATATATATATATATATATATATATATATATATATTTTCTACTTTTATATTTTACATATATATATATATATATATATATATATGTATATATATATATATATATATATATATATATATATATACACATATACATAAAATGTCAACTTTAACGCTCTATATGCAATTCATGTCAATATAACAATAAATATAATACACAGTAGTTACGAATTTTAATATAAATAAATATTAATATATCACAATTGTATTTGAAAATCTCGATTCAAAAAACCATCTTAAAAGGAAAAGAAAAAAGATAGATAAATAAATATCAAAAAATGTATTTTCTCACACTTCCAACCAAAATTAAATAGCAAATTTACAATAGGTGCTATTTTTTACTATCGCGATGGAATTACTGTAATTATTAACTTATTAGTCTTATTAATGAAAATGAGTCACTTCTATATAATATCTTTCTATTATTTGTTATATATTTCATCAATTTGGCCTAATTCCTGTTGATTGAAAAAGTGAATACATTATATAATTTATATAATTATATATTATATAATTAAATATATGATTTATTCAATAAATTTTACATTCGATTTTAATAACTTTTTCTAAATCGGTGTCAATCCAAAGAAAGATTTAATTACAGTAATAAGCAAATTTATAAGCTTCTTTTAAATCTTTAAAAATTGTTTTCCGAGAGAACTAAAATAAAAGAATTATTGTTAATTGTAATGAACAATTAGTTGGAGACGATTATTATATAAAAAGTAAATTGTAGAAAATTGAATTACTTTTTGAATTCATCCTAATGCATATATATTATGATTACAAAACTTGTATAAATTTATTGTTTTGTAAAGTTAAACTTAGAGATTCATCCCTCACTTCCTCCTTTCTTGTGCTATTTGTAATGTCATTGTAAATTTTTTTTTCATAAGAAACGGTCTATATATAAAATATATTTTTATAAGTAAATTATTAGTCAATATATAATATATAAGATGTAACTATATGTGTAGCTTTATATTAAAAAATAAGGATTCTTAAATCAAGTAAAATTATTTCATGAAATTATCTCATGTTTTATAAATTGGTTTGTTATGTAGTATATATATGTATGTATGTATGTATGTATATATATATATATATATATATATATATATATATATATTTGCTTTTCTTATGTGAGAGAAATGTACCATATAGTGTGTATAGGATTTGCTAATGTGAGTGGTTATAATTTGTTATAATTACTTGTTTATAATTAAGATATTGTCGATGTGTGTGAATATAGTTATATATTAAATAAATATTATTTTGTATGTGTGTGAAAATGTTGCAATATATTATATGCAAGAGTAAAAAACCAGAAAAATTATTTCAAATTAAATAACAAAATGTGTGATGTATACATTGGTCCCTAAAAGTAAAAAATATTTAATATAATATGTATATATATCGAAAAACAAATGGCACTACATTAAATTCCTTAATTTTTATGCTCAATATAGTCATTTTTTTCTATTACATAACAAAGTTAGCGACAAAGCTAAGAACTGTATTCATAAATGCTGTGCTCAAATATATGTATAATTTATTTTTTAGAATTTTACTTCATAGCAAATAAACAATAACATAAGAACAATAACTTTGAATACAGATCTTTGCTACATTAATTATCATAAGTAATGAATGATTTATTCACTTATCTTTTAACACATTTTTCTTTATCCACTAAATGCAAATATCAATATATTACAGGATATTATATTCTTTTCTTCAGCATCACATAATTTTCTAAAGCTCTTAATAAATAAAGCACTAATCTCTTTGGTATGAGACTCAAGTGATGATGATGAAAAACGTAATAAATAGCTTGTATAAACGTTATAAATGGCCTCTTCTAGTGTTATAAGTTTGTAGAATCTGCTATAATTAAAAGGCAATGCAAATCGACACCCTGATTGATTATTAAATCTCTTTATATATATATAAAATTATAGATTATAATTTTCATAATCCATTTAAATTTTTATTCTGATTTTGTGCTCACAATTAGGAAGCAGTTTGTCATATGTATAGCATTAATTATACTCTATCATGTAATTGACATTACAAGTAAATAATTTATTTGGATTATGAAACAAACATGCAACACTATGCAGTTGCTGCATATATACTTATTCTTACGAAATATATTTATATAAACAATGTCTTCTTGTATTAAAAATAAGTTAACACATAAGACTATAGTCTCGTTGTTAACAAGTATGAATGACTTATATAAATACAGTAACTCATATAATTTTTTTTACCACTAGATCACAATGATTTGGTAAATAATAATTATGTTGCGATTATAAACTATATAACTACTCATAATTATTTCATAAAAATCGGATTTGTAAAATAATTTAGAATATTATCAAACAGATGTGCAAAAAGTAAATCATTTTTACTATATTTTAATGCATTAATTTTGTTTTTGTATATTATATCATTAGTCATAAATTCAAAAATTGCCAGTATAAAATGTAAAAGGTTCCCAAAATTCTCATTACAATTAAAGTTATATATGTGTATATATGTTTCATATCAAAATCTATAAAAATATGTATTTGTCACAAATATATATGTCCAAAACTATATGATAATAAAGTTTTAGGTCGAAAAAATGAACATTATATTATGCCTTATAATGGATACTACAGCAAACATGTGAAATGTAATCAAATAATATTCAAATGTTTGAAAAAATATGCTCATATAATGAACAATCGTTCGTTAAAAGCAAACTTTTATCAAAGCAATTTTTATCTTTGTAAGCATAAATTCTCTTTCCGTTAATAATGTTATAAAAACATTGAATTTCTTGAATAAAGCGCGAGTTAATCAAGTTCTGTATATTATTACTCGATATTAGAATAAAAATAAGGCAAATATATATATGTTAGTTTACGATTTGTCGTTATAGTTTTTGTCATGCACTGCAAAATTATAAATGCTATTTTATGAAGTCACATTAACTTTTGAATTTTTTTATCAGTAATATTGTTCCTGAATATATATACGAATGGTGTAACATTTTTTCTACTATTAAAAAGTTTATATGATAATAGCATATATTAAACTCGCTTATCCTAAATCTCGAAAGAAAGGCACAAAGTAATATACTAAAACTCTAAGAGATTGGTAACTCTTCTAAAGATCAACGATACAGAAATAAATGGAAATAACAAGAAATACGTATTATAAAGCGTGGATCAACACTTGTTATGCACAACTCTCGGCAAGACAATCTGCAGGATTTGACATTACATTACGCAGTCGACGAATCTTCGACATCTTTGTCATCATTAGACGCGAGAACAACAATCTTATGCAAATTATTAATCGGTCTTTTCGGTTTCGGTGGAGGCGTTGGCGGTTTATTAGAATGACTATCTAGATCATCATCAGTAGGTGTCGGTAACTTGTTCTTCCACTGCCCTGGAGATTTGTTCAGATTATTCAAAGGACTACTAGCTAGACACTGATTAGAGGAAAGTTCCTCTGGAAGATTACAATAATCGGCCTCGCGCATTTTAATCGGCAGAGGCGGCGGCGGATCATCCTCGGATGCTGTACTGTCAGTCGTGCCAACGCTATCCCTATTTCCTTTTCCCAAATTACTTGGTTCCAATTCATTACTAATATTCCTTAGATAGTGTTGAGACTGCCCAGACCAGCGATTACTCATTCTACGTTCTTTCTCCGCTTCTGATCTCAGAGGTCGTTTTGGTGTAAGCTGTGTAAACAGGTGCGTATATCTCTATTTTAAGATTATAAGAAATAAAAAGACAATGCTCGTATGAAGTCAAACTTATTACCTCTTGACGTAGTTCAAATACAGGTGTCGAATGTAAATTAGATATCAATGACGTAATGGAACATGTTGAACTGTGAGATATTTCGGCCGTGGTGTACCATTGACTGGTCGGTTGATCGCTTTTCGTCACCGTGGCGGAATCGCTCTTTCGCGAACTTCTACGCTTCGCATCCTTCTTCTTATATGTTCCCGGACTCGAATTTCCCAATGCTTTTTGCAAAGAGGCCGTTGACAGAATATGCGAACGCATGGAGTTGTTCCTATAAATTGAAAATATTTGCAATTAAAGGCAACGTGAGTATCAAAAAGTAAAATCAGAAATAGACAGATAAAAGTAAATCGTATATAGACTAATCGTATATAGATTAAAAGTAGTGTAAGTCATAATTATAAATAGATACAGAAATAAAATAGATGAGATTATAATTGAGATAAATGATTAAATTTCATGAATTAAATAAATTAGTTTATAATTAGTTTATAATATAATTATCAGAAGAATATTGTACAAGCTGTGTGTATGCTTATATTTTAATCAAGATATCAGATATTTGATAAGAGAAATGTAATAATTGTAATAATCGCAATATCACTCGAGCCTTGCAACAATCTATAGCAAATACATATTTTTTAATTACCTATCGTAGTTATTGTAGACTTAGGAAGTTTAGTACAGATTGCCAGTTGAAGGAGATATATATTCCAAGGATATGACGATATTATGAGAAATGCAAAACAGAAACATGCAGATGAGAAGCGGAATAAATAGAAATAGAAGATGTGTAAAAATGTTAATTTAAAAAATCAGTACGTTTTTCGTATGCGTTTCAAATTATCTTGTTTCATGTAATATATAATTTTTATGACATAAAGAGAAGTATAACTATGTAGCATTAAGAATAGGTTTTTTTTTTTTTATTGTCTCGTTATATCTTTTGCATTCTGCAGAAGCAAAATGATAAAGTAATGCAAAATTGTAATCTGTATTTCAAATCTATTATTTTTAAAATATTATTTATAAATGATTTAAATATTTCTGGTTAATTTTAATGTTTATGGATTTGTTACTCATTCTCGGAACGCAAATATATAAAAAGTAACATAAATTACACAAATTAATGTACATATATATATAAGGGAAAATATATATTAATTCATATTATCTATATTGTCTAAAAAAATAAAATAACTGGAAAACACACAAGTAAACTGGAAATAAAAAACAAAGATATATAACAGGAATATTAAGTACGAAGAAAGGATAATATGGTACTATGCGAGAGTTTATCGGGTCCAACAGCGATATTCCTGAAATCATATTGCATACTATTCTATCATGTGCTCTAAAACGGGATTTTACTCTCTTTAGACATATAAACTGTGATTATGAGAAATATTAAATAAATTCGCGCATCTATTTTTTTATGTTTTGAATTTTTAATATTTCCTCTATCATAAGAGATCCAAATATCTAAGGCTTTTGTACAGAAATTAGCATTTAATATAATAATATAAATTAGCACTTATATTAACTCATCTATAGAGAAATGATTCAATTCTTGAGTTAGTGCTGAAGCTAAGTTAAACACTCATATGATTTTACCTTGACAAATTGATGGTTTGAACACCACTGGGGGGTGTGCTGTTGTTAAAATTGAACGATGCAAGAGACTTGAACGTTGCAACTTGGGATCTTGTAAGTGAGGATACCCTGGAGTGAATTATACAGCTGAATGGGATAATTGTATAATATAATTATTTTAAAACTGATACAGGATCAATCATGCTTGCCTTTGAACACATCCTGTGGCACACACACACACACACACACACACACACGCACACGCGCACGCGCACGCGCACGCGCACGCGCACGCGCACGCGCACACACACACACACACACACACACACACACACACACACACACACACACACACCACACACACACACACACACACACACACACACACACACACACACACACACACACACACACACACACACACACACACACACACACACACACACACACACACACACACACACACACACACACACACACACACACACACACACACACACACACACACACACACACACACACCACACACACACACACACACACACACACACACACACACACACACACACACACACACACACACACACACCACACACACACACACACACACACACACACACACACACACACACACACACACACACACACACACACACACACACACACACACACACACACACACACACACACACACACACACACACACACACACACAACACACACACACACACACACACACACACACACACACACACACACACACACACACACACACACACACACACACACACCACACACACACACACACACACACACACACACCACACACACACACACACACACACACACACACACACACACACACACACACACACACACACACAACACACACCACACACACACACACACACACACACACACACACACACACACACACACACACACACACACACACACACACACACACCACACACACACACACACACACACACACACACACACACACACACACACACACACACACACACACACACACACACACACACACACACACACACACACACACACACACACACACACACACACACACACACACACACACACACACACACACACACACACACACACACACACACACACACACACACACACACACACACACACACACACACACACACACACACACACACACACACACACACACACACACACCACACACACACACACACACACACACACACACACACACACACACACACACACCACACACACACACACACACACACACACACACACACACACACACACACACACACACACACACACACACACACACACACACACACACACACACACACACACACACACACACACACACACACACACACACACAACACACACACACACACACACACACCACACACACACACACACACACACACACACACACACACACACACACACACACACACACACACACACACACACACACACACACACACACACACACACACACACACACACAACACACACACACACACACACACACACACACACACACACACACACACACACACCACACACACACACACACACACACACACACACACACACACACACACACACACACACACACACACACACACACACACACACACACACACACACACACACACACACACACACACACACACACACACACACACACACACCACACACACACCCACACACACACACACACACACACACACACACACACACACACACACACACACACACACACACACACACACACACACACACACACACACACACACACACACACACACACACACACACACACACACACACACACACACACACACACACACACACACACACACACACACACCACACACACACACACACACACACACACACACACACACACACCTATTACCACATACTGATTTTACTTATAACAAATATTGCTTAGAAATATCCATGTATCATCAGATATTTATTTGTTATATAATTTAATACAAATAAAGATAATATTTAAAATAATTAGATTTAAAATGTAACTTTTTATAAATAGATTAGTAATACGAAATATCGCTTTATTCCAATAATGATGATTATGATATAACAATAACATGCTATGTAATAATTATTTCCATATTAGTCACGATAAACTCGTTAGTAAAATAATAAACATGCGTTTATAACTCCTTAATAAAAAAAAAATGCTGCTTTTGCGAACATTAACAGAATGACTTACTCTGAATTATTCATATTTGACTCAGACAGGCAGTGATTATCCCCTCTTGAAGTTGGTGGCCTTCGCATAGTTACGGTCTGTGTTAGGCTTTCAATTTGCAAATCGCATGTCTATATATTATATAAAATAAAAAAATTTTGAAAATCTGCATGTATAACTATTGACTTGAATAATTAGATTAACTTACCCTCTTTCCATATTTAACTTCTACTTGATTGCGCAATGACACGAAACATTGTTCTAAACGTTGATGAAACGGTGTCAATTCGGTAGGCGCTCGTGCTTTGTGCAACTGGAGTCCTATACTGAGTAAGGGAATTTGCTCTGCAATAAGTCCTTCTAATTTGAGAAGATCCGAACTCTCTTCTAGATGATTTTCCTTGTATTCTGCATTGAGAAAAGCCTTTTCATAGTTATCAATACCACCCATAACAGCTGGATCCAATATACCATTCAATTTCATGCTTAAGGGATTTAATGGAAGACTGGGATCGCTCCTGCAATAAGTAGTGAAAAAAATTATTGCAAAAATTCATAATGTAAGTAATGATAAATAAGAGTAATCTAAGTATAGGACGTAATTACTTTGTTATATTTATTATATACTTACTTTGTTATATTTATTTTAGTTATAAAAAAATATTAAACAAACCTATGAGCAATAATGAGATCACGTAGTGCTATATTTGTAGCTTCCATAGTTTCAATCGCATTTCTCAATGGACTGACTAAATATGTCTCGCTAGATGTCACAGGAAACCACCGAAGAATTCCGGGCAACGGATAGCTTGTCACAAGCACTGTTCTTTCTAACCATAACGAAGCAAATTCATTGCTGCTATTAATGCCAGCATTTATTTCTTTTTCCTTATCATTAGCTATCGCAATGATTTCTTTTCTCGGTGCGGGTCTTGAAAATCTAAAGCGTTGTACGTCATTCACACGATGATACCTAAAATATATAGTTGATAAAACGTAAAAATAATAATAATATTTACAAAAATATATTTACAATAATAATAAAATGTTGCATATGTTGTGTTTAGTTACTTTAATATAATATTGAATACCTTAAAACTGCTTCTGCAGTAACTGGTTTACCACTCAGACGATGCCTCTTTTCGTCCATCAATGGCTCTACCTTATTAATTTGTACATATTGATGATTAGATTCCAACATTTCTATAGTGGGTGGAGATAATTTGTTCATTTGCTCTGCATTCGGTAATTGGTTCAACGTTCTTGAACAAAAGTCACTAAGCCGTTCGTATTCTTTTCCTCGATAAACAAATACCTATTATAAATGAATTATTTGGTTAAAAGCGAATATAAAATACGATCAAAAATATATTTTTATTTGTTAAACATGTCAAAGTTTATTATTACCTTATTTTGAAGGAAAACAGGATGTCCTCTGCCATAATATGCAACTCTAAAATATTCTGGTTCAGGTCTTAATTGTTTTACTATGCAATCATAGAACTTTGCCATACGTCTTAATAATACAGATAGTTGCAAATAATCGAATGTTTCTTCCTCATATTGTGATATTAATTCCTTACAAACAGTAAGAGCACATTCCCACATTCTTCCTTTGTCAAAATAATCGATAATATCATTATACAATGCTTCTTTTAGTTCACGATGTGTTTGGCATAATGGATATCTAGGAAAAAAATATTTTAATATTTATTTTATTAATATAAGTTTAATGTATAAAAATATTTCGTTATTTAATTCTAAGTATGTGATGATACCTGTGCGATATCAGCAAAGGTGGTAAAGGTTGGTCGCTCCATGCTAATAACTGACTATGAAGCTTCAGAGAATAAGCTGCTTCTGTATAATTATCGCATTCTAAATGTAATTCACATAGTTTGTTCACGTACCTGTAATGTAAAAAAAATTTAATGTAATTTAATATTTATTTATTTACATTATATTAAATAAAATTAACATAAAAAATTAGGTTTATTATATAGAATTTAATCAATCTTGAAATAGACGATTAAAACATTTAAATTTAATTATTAAAATATAGTACATTTTTTTTATATTTACCTAATGTACATTTCTTTCCTATTAATCTCAGAATAAAATTCCAATAAATTTACAGTGCAAAGCATACGATGTTCTTGAGATTCTGCGTGAATAATATCTCGATATTGTAATAAACGTTCCATGAGTTTAGCGATAGTGTCTACAAAGCGTAAGCCTTGCTCTCGCATTGTGGAATGTTTTTCGCACAAAGAACCCATAACATAAGTCCAAAGCGCACGAAATTGTTCGTCACCTCTACCTCCTTCTACCTATAAAGAAGATACTTTGATAAAGTATAATCTTTCATTGATATAATTAATGAAGCAAATTTAAGTTGCGACTTTTAATTTCAATATATAAAATGATATAAAAACTATACCAAGATATCCAATTTTGCAATCATCTCATTTTCATATTCTATAAAATTAGCTTTAATATGAGCAGGATCACGTTTGGTATCGCCGTATCCTTCCACTATTCGTGAACTGTAATATTCACATTGCATCATATCGAAAAAGATAGGTATTGTAGCTTTTCTTAATTCAGTTTCAGGTATTAATGCCATTTCAAGGATTGCGCCGACTAAAGCAGGCACAAATAGTATTTTGTGTTGTCCCAAATTGAACCACATTGATCGAATTTCAAATGCAGTTTCTCTGTAATGTATCATATAAAGAAAATGTGATATTATTATTTTTATTTTATCAATTTACCATGCTTAATAAAAATATTTTATACATAAAATGTGTTATGCAACTAAGATTCATATATTTATTTAAATTGCATTTCTATTTGAGTTTATAATTTTCTGTGATAGTGATTTGAAACGGTTGTATAATTATTATATTTGATAAGAAACGTACCTACGCATGTCGTTATAACGTGCAATAATACGATTTCGTTTGGCTGGTGTGAATGTTTCCAACTGTAGGGCAGGTTGAGTTAAAAATGCAATAGCACAATGAAAAAAATTTGACCATGCTTGATGCTCAAATTCGGTAAAAAAATAATCTCTAATTGTGCCTGAGAAATATCGTAATGATTTTAGAATAACACTATTTTGAAGCATAATCATTTCACACCAGTCTCCTGCAAATACACTTCTAGAAACTAAATCTTTGAAAACTAATAATATCTCCATAAGAAAATCGAGTAAATCAATTCTTGTTCCAAAGTGATTGATGTATACTTCATAATGGTGTTGTGTCATTTGTCTGAAAAAGATGACAAAAATAAGCATAGAGATATATCTCCAATAATTTTTTTACCATTATTTTAAGATCTTAAAAATACCTGAATATTGCTAACATGACTGAAACTAAATTTCCAACTAAAGGATTTTCCCTATCCATTGATATAACAGTTTGTATAACAGTGCGTAATGCAGTTAACATTATCTCTTTAACATCTGAAACTGTGCTACCTATATCTTTTCTAAAAGTCAGTTCCAGAATGTCAGACAATATCTTGACACATAATTCCACCTGTAGGAACATAAAGACAGATTTAACAAGTATTTAGTAAGATTGCTTGAATGTATCTATTTCTATAAAATATAAAAATTAGTAGAAAAATATATAAATCAACATGTCTAAATTAGTGAATTATAATATGATATACACTCTCTGCAATCTATACATTCACACACAAAAATAATTCGCATAACGCGAATCATCGATCCTAAATTATAAAATATAATACAACACACAGGCATAAATGCAAAGTTCTGTGTAAAACTGTCTTAAAATATACCATGTAACGCCATGAAAAACGTTATTTATTTTCGTAGAAGATTTCCGTAGATTGCGTAGAGAATTTCCTGCATTTATCAAAAATTACCTCTTCAGAGTAGCCGCGATGTTGGTTGAGCCGATGTCGATTTTCGCCGAGCAGCCTGGCTACCTTCGCCACGCTCTTTCCAGGCGTACTCGATAGCCCCTTTAAACGCCATTAACCAAAACCAAACCGTATACAAAAAAAAAATGAAATAACCCTTGTTAGTTGAAAAAAAAAATACCATTTTCTAAAGACATATACATTTCTGAAAATTCCCGACACCAATGTGAATTTAGAACTGCATGCAGTAAAGATGCAGTTTCTCACTAAGAAATATATTAATAATAGAAAAATAATAGAAAAATTTAATGTGATATACTAATAATAGACAAAAGTATGTATAATAGAGAAAAGAAAAAGAAAATTTTCATTTAATGATTATAATTTTTTTTTCACAGTCACGAGTGTTTGATATTTTCATACTATGAATTAATAAACTATATAAATCATAAAACATTTCAAAATTTATATTATAACAAAAAAAAAACAAAGTAATAAATCGAAGAAGATATCACACAAATTAAATAATTTTATATGTAAATGCTTATTATATAAAATGCAGAATAAACATTACGCAATAACATATCACTGGACAAACACATGCCACATTTGGAATTTTATTATTTCAATACAATGAATATATTTACTCTTACATGCTCTACTGAAAGAGTAAGTAAAAAGGATGTCTCTTTCAATTATATTTTCAAATAACAACAATTTTCAATTTTTATTATTATATATATTGTGAAAAATTATTGCTAAATACATAATATTATTTCTTTTTTAAAAAATTTCTTTCTTATTTCTTTTATAAAAAATAATATACAAATAATATTAATAAAAATAATAATGTGAAAAATTGATTAAAAGTTTAGTAATAAAATTTATAATAAACAAGCTATGATTTAAAAAATAAAAAATGAAAAGACATCCTCTATAAAAAAGGAAGTTTGATAAGATTCATGTAGAAAGATGCGTGGCGAAAGGATCGCAGGCTGTACGGAAAGCACGAATGATATTTATCATGTACGACACGATATTAAATGCAAGTAAAAATTTATAAGTTCAATCAGATTTAGTTATATGCAAATGTATATAGTTAGAATTCTGTGAAAAGTGTCGCGAGATTATATAAATGATGAATTTATATTATTTCTTGTGAAATATAGATAAGTGTAATGTATACATTCCAATTTGCTTAAATTGTCGATTATAGGAAATTATAGCATTAGGAAACAGCACATTTTATGACATCTTACCTCCTCTTTGGCTTCCAATAAGTCTCTCACAAGTATAGTAATTCTTGGCAATAAAATCGCTCTACACTCCACATTTAAAAAAAGTGGACTATGAACAATATCATTGACTGTCATCATTTTCTGCTTAGTTAATCTACCTGTTGGTAGAGTCACAAGTAAATCTGTTAGAATTGTACTCAATTGCTTGCCACTGTAGACCCTTAATAAATGAGGTATTGTTGTAGGCAGATACTTGAGACAAGCTCCTTGAACCAACAAAGTCCCATCAGTTTCATAACTCATGAGATTAACAATGGATTGTAATAGATCTGTTAATGTTTGTGAGAATTCTTCTTCATCTTGATTTAATCTTTGAAAGAAAATTACAATAATTATTAAAAATCATGTATATATTTCTCTTTTAAAGAATAAATATATATGTGGGTAATAATAAATGAAACATACTCAGTAAATAAAAGACGAGATTCAACAATAAACCTCATGCAGTATTGCAGACTTTTCATTGTTTTAAGCAATAAATCACGTTCTTGACCATCGTTGTTGCCGATGTTATCTATACGCTTGCGCAATACTGCAATTAATTTTTTATATGCAAGAGTTGCAGAGAAACTTTCAGAAATGTATAAATCTAATACTGGTTGAAAGTGCTGATACTTTCTATCGGACACGAGTCCAATAATATATAAAAGGCACTCAAAGACCATATCATCATAGACATCACTGTCTGAATTACTCATTAAAATGTTAAATAAAGCATCCAAAACATCCTGTAAAAAATGATGCTGCTCATTAAAATTATTCTCATACAAATATAATTATTATTGTTATACATGTAATTTCCCTCGAATATTTTATTTTACCTGCAGAAACTTCACTATTTCCTCCCCATCGACCTTCATTAAAGCAGCTAAAGATTCTTTCAAGCCAGTATTGTGTGATGCCCAATTAAGTAAACCTAATAAATCTACATTCTGGGTTAATTTTGTTGAGCAAATATTGGTTGCTATCAAAAAACTATCTTTGCTGCTTAATGTTAATGATCCTAAACTTGGCTTCTTCTCTATATTTAATTCAGCCTAAATCACACACAAAAAAGAGAAGATAAAAATGTTGAAATATTAAAAATGTATGAAATTTCCTTTATCTCTTTAATAAACAAATAGACATACCAATTCTCCGCGTGTTGATGGCAATTTAAAGTAAGATATATCACTTTCCTCATACTTCTTTTGCTCTAATTTGTAAACCAACAATTCGTGTTGTATGTCTTGCAGAGTTGTACCATTACGTTGCATTAATCGAACATAACTTAAAGCAAATGGTTTCTCAGACTTATCTTTCGCTTCGTTAGAACTGCGATGCTTGAATGTAAACTTTAAATGAGCTTGCTTGAATTCTTCTATAGGTATGGCAATCTTGAACGTTTCGCACCATCTAGGCTTGTCTTCATGATAATAAATAACACTACGATACTCATCAATAGGAGACGCGCCGCCTCCTAATGTCATGACTCCAGGAATTGCTATACCATGTTCATTACATACTTTAACCTGTTAAAAATCAGATATATTTAATCTATTTTTGTAGGAATATTTTTATCAATTTTTATCTTCTATTTAAATTCTTATACTAACCGTTACTTCCACATTTTTATCTGTAGATTTTGAACCTTTACTAAATTCGCCACTAATTAAAGTCAAATATAGGTCGTTGCGTACGTCACCCGGCAAAATAACTTCCGGAAATCCCATTTTACGTGCAATTGCAACATTACCGAGGACTAGATGTGGATTTTCGTCACGTACCTATACAAATTCTCAAAATTAGAGATATAATTTTTGTTTATATAAAGCACAACAATACAATCGTTTAGAAAAAATTTACAATTGTATAGAAAAATTATTTTATTTCACAACTCACTTGCTTTGGATCGCCTCTTAACAATTTTAAACTCGTCCATAATCCTTGTCCACCTGTGATATTGGTAATATTGCCATTGATATGTTTCTGGATAATTGCTTCTTTTTGTGCAATAATTTTACGTAATGTTCCATCAAGACTATCTTTCTCACAACATCTGAAGCAAAGAATAAGGAAACCAACAAAACAATTCTGCCTTAACTCTCTTTCAAGTATTATTAATTAATTAATACTTTTCTTTGAGAGTTTAATCATAAATTTCACAATATTGGATGTCATAAAACCAAGATACCTTAAATATGTACTTACTGTATAAAAGGTATAAAATGATGTTGTTCAACATCTCCCTCGAGTTTGCCAGTAATAAATAAAGTGATATCCATCGCGGCTACACCGAATGGTCTTCTCATATTTTCCGTACTTTTGGATTTGTTCTGATTATTTTGTGCAACGCTCGAGCGTCGGTGGTCCGGTTCTTTGGCTTCCATACCGCCCACTCTAATTACATAACAGGCTAAATAAACTTTGTCCCTTGTCAAATCTCTGGAGCCAAGATCCGTGAACAATACTCTAAGATTGTGCAACTGATCGATGTCTCTTGCAAGTCCCTCTTTGCTCCATGATACCACGTAATTTTCCGTGATAGCTTTCATTTCCCTACCATCGTATAAAGTCAATAGTAGCTCTACATCCTCTGCCATTTTACACACAAAATTTCTCACACTGACAAAGAAGATATGTGAATATACAGGTACTTGTGGCTTATGGGACTTTTTTTTGGTGTCATTGGACGCCTTCCTTATCCTTTCTGCAGCAGTCTCATGATGATAATATAATTGGATAGTACTCGTTTCTTCGGGATTTAAAACGTTTCCATGCTCGTCTCGAACCACCATGTCCAAACCCAACAGTTGATTTCCAGTGTCTATCCTTGCCGTTGCTAATCTTTTCATATCTTTCAATTCGTCTACTGTTAAAGTACCACTCAAAATCTTGCTTCTGTATCCTATTGCATCCAAAATTTGTTGCTGCATTGTCCTGAAGTACTCGGAGTGTGTCTATATATGTACAAAAAATTATATAAAGTTATATTTATACATGTTTAGAGAGATAAATTAAGTTTTATATATATATATATATATATATATATATATATATATATAATAAAAAAAATATATTCATACCACATATAAATACTTCCAATGATGCCCCCATTCTTTTAGAACATTAGTGATTTCATGTACTAGGTTATCCGTATACGTTGATTTCTGTAAGATATGTATATAGGACTTTGGAAAAATTCCACATGTGCCTTTAAACTTGCTGCGGCCATAGTACCAGTCTCCACACTCCTCAGTTATCTGTACAACCTCTCCGACTGTTAAACGTATCGTGTACGGGTTTGGATGCGCAAAATTATGGATGGCTAAAGTGAAATTAAAAATATATCTCATTTTAATATTGTAATATTTCTTCAAGACTCTGCATTTTTGTATATCTCAATAAAAAATTATATCTTCAATTTATATTAATTTTGGAATTATAATTGTTTCGTGTTAATGTCTATTAATAAATTTTAACTAATTATCTGCTCAATTTTATGTAATAACTTAAGATTATTTTTAAAATATACAAATATATTTTACATGCATATAAAAAATGTATATATAAAGATAAAAATGTATAATAGTGAATATTTTTTCCTTATAAATAATCAACATAGATCAATATATGTGTAATAAAATATTTACATAATAGCATTAATATTAATACACAAAATAATATTATTTTCCCATATTTATGACAAAATAAAATGATTTTCAATCAATTCTAAATTCAACATGACTACGGTATGTATAATGAAACAATACATCCATTTATATTAGTTGATTAATGTAATGTATCATAAATATTGAATACACGAATATTATATACGAAATGTCACATGCATAAAATACATCAAAGATTCAGTATACACGACAGAGGTAGCGAAGGGTGAAGTGCCCACTCGAATGTCAGACGCGATGTAACGAATATTTTATCTGAACTCTCGGGGGCACCTCCCAGGATGTTGGAATATTTCGCAGCACAGAGGGTTATTAATCTTACGCACAAACCGTATTCCTCACCTACTCCTAACTGCTCATTAATCCGCTTCCATGTCATTGTCATTTTATTCCGGTACTCTTAGCACTTCTAAGATATTTACATTAGTTACATCTCGCGACTCGCATCTCGCCAGGGCGAATAAAATATATTGCCGTTTTTATCTTGCCATCTATTACTATAATGCCTCCGAAACAGGATGCTACACTTCTCTACTATGTATATTACCACAGCGATGTGAGAACGGATGGAAGAGAGACGAGACTAGAGGGAACAAACATGTCACGAAATGCATAAAAATTGACGTAAGCACAGAGAGGAAAACGCGAGTGAGGAATGTTCGTACTCTTGGCTCCCATTTAAATAATCGTATCGATAAAGAGGATATTTGCGGATAAATATTGTCGATAAAAAGATCTCGAATCTGCCTGAGATAAGCTGTAATCTGTAATATCGATGCTACTGAACGCGACGTCGCGCGACATCAGCTGATTTCGCTCTGTCCATCTCGCGTTGGCACTTGCGGTTGATTTTTGTCGTGGTCGGCGTATTTTTGAGATCTCGGGTCGTTAATTATCGTCGAAATAATAGACAAAACTGCCGTCATGGTGCCCAATTGTACCGCCGAGCTCAACAGATTGATGAACGAGCTAGAAATCAGCGAATTGGAGGTGAGTTTCCAAACTGTGCGAAAAGGCGCTTTTGCAGGTTATATCGTCTATTTATGTTCAATCTTCTTTACGTACTTGCATTCGGCGATGAAGCACGTTTTGGGTGAGATATCGTTTTATAATTGAGGAGGTGAATGTGGAAAGTAATTTCAGTTAATCGCTCGTTTCAGCCCACGACTGGTGTTCTAACTGCACAAGCTTACATGCGATTGCTGGCTGTCTATCTCCATCAGAATGATCTGTGAGTAGAAAAGCACACATATTCAATTAGTTTCTCATGAGGGATATTGTATCTTTTACTTATCTTAACCATTTTTTCTATTATTGCTTTATTAATAACACATTATTGCTTTATTAATAACACAGATAGGATGTGCAATTTATGTGCTTGAATTAGCATAAGATATTCAATGTATATTTTAATGTAAAGTTCCTTTATATCGCAATATTGAATATTGAGTTATAATTTAATCAGATACATTACCATGAAAAACAGTTGAAATAATGATTAAGCATGTTTTTGAATTTATATGTTGTCTTAAGTTGTCAGGTGATTGGATCATTCATTGCACCAACTTTATACCATTATCACTAAGTATTTGATTGCGCAAAATTATTGCTAAAATATTTCTTTATATTATGTCTTTTATTTTTTGACATACTTTTAGAAGCTTTTGCTTCTTATTCGCACCTTACTTTCTTGGGATGCATTTTATAAAATGTATGAGTATTCATGTTTTATTCACATCTATATCTGCCAACAAGATAATAAGAATATTTTTTTCATTTATTGTTGTGTGGGTTTTAAGATCCATTAAATCTATCTGTGATGACACCATTTGTTATCCTCCTTTGCATTGTGCTTTTTATAATCCTTTATGGTCTATCGGTCTAAAGTCGCTTTGTTTCTCCTGGCGTTAAAATTTATATCACGTAAAGAAGTATTTTGCGTCGATAGCATGAGCGTGTCACACAAAATATTTCGCAAAGTCGCTTGCAGCGATCTGCTAAAATCGGCTATTTGCTATCTATTTTATTTTTGTACATCACACATGAGAGAGTGTGTCGAATCTGTTTATCAATCGACTTGTGATTTTGTTTATTTGAATGAATCGACAATGACAGATGCAACGCAAAATCGCTTGCAGCGATCTGCTAAAATCGGCTATTTACGATCTATTTTATTTTTGTACATCATACATCACGCATGAGAGAGTGTGTCGAATCTGTTTACCGATCGACCTGTGATTTTGTTTATTTGAATGAAACGACAATGACAGATGCAACGCAAAGTTCCTCTGGCAACGAATTCCCTCGGATATAAAAGCCGCCCATGAAGACCTCAGACGAATATGGATTGTAGGACAACGCATGTGGCAACGCAATTGGCCTGCGGTGCATGTGGCCCTCAATGTGGAATGGAGCGAAGATGTCAAAGAGATTATGGCAGCTCTAAAAGGTAAGTTAAATATATTTTAAAATAATAAGAGATTAATAAAGTAACGAAATTCCATAATAAAATAATCATTAGAATTAGACAACAAGATACCTGGAATTAAATTATTTCTTTCCTATGTGCCACTGTTAGAATTTATAATGTATTTTTAATATATAATGTCACCAAAGAAATCTGAAAAAAATACAATCATCATGATTATTCATCCACAGAGATTATCCATTACAATAATAATAATAATGCAAATTCGTATTAATCATTATCTTCTAAATAATTAAAATCTTAAATCTCTTATTGCAGTTATTATTTAGTAAGTATATGCATTAAAAAAATATATATTTGATATTTTAATAAATTTGATCTCTTTATCTCTTTACGTTTTATGTTGTTTTTTTTCTTTATTTAGCGCCCTACATCTGTAGAGGTAAAGACTAAATATGTACCTTATTATAATTAACGACAATCAATTGTTATTAAACCCACCGTCTATACATAATTATCACTTACAACGCCAATCGATAATCGATTAGTCGAGCGGCATCTGCACAGCTATTGGTGTTCTTTATTCAAATTTCTTGCTCTGTGTTAAACAAGAAGACTTCTTGTTGTACTAACGGAATTCCCGATTCACCTCCGATTTTTGCAGACAACGTTCGAGAACGAGTGATGAGGCTGATATCGAAGGCGTACTCTTCATTGAACCTGACGACTATGGCGACGATGAGCGGGATGTCGTTGGATGAGGCGCGACAAGCCGCTATTGACAGGGGTTGGAGCGTCGACGGTACCATAGTGCAACCGTGCAAGCAAAACGACGAGGAACAATACAGTCAATCGGACAAGATCTGTTTAACGGAGGAGCAACTGGAGAAACTCACACAATTTGTGTCCTTTTTGGAAAATTGAGGGATCTTCTATTCTTCCTTGACTTCATCTCGTGTGGACTCGAATCGTTGCGCGATCTCGATGACGGACTCGAACCTCCTTTCGCAATCTCGCCTCGTAACTCTATTATATAAAGGAGGAAGTGCGCGCCGAAGGTAACATCATCGATGTTCGTGCTCGTAAAATAAGCATACCTTACGATAGACAGAGAGGGAGAGGGAGTAGTGACAGAGATAGAGACAGAAAGCAGCTACCCACGCGATTTGTCCGTTCAATCGGAAGGATAATTCAATGAAGCTCCTCGCAAGCGTGGAATCAACAACTATATTAATCGATAATCAGCTGTGCGTGCGCGAGAGGGCGGACTGGCATTTGCAGAACAGTATCCTCCGACAGGAGTCTCTTTTCCTCTCGTCTCCTCTTCCCTGTCGTGCTCCTAACTCGCCTACCTGATGTGGATCCCCTGAAAATACACACCGTTCGCATCGCTGTAATTATCAAAGTGGTTCGCCGCAGTAAGAATCGGGCAGGTAGCCGTTAATGTTCCTCACGACGACGACGACAACGACGTGCCTCTATCTAACTTAAACACGTGCGTGGCACGCGAACTATTCTCACGCGTGATTCCTCGTGGTACCTTCGAATCGAGAAGAAGAAACGAAAGGAGAAATAAAAAGACTGGAACTGTTTCAAACGGCGTGCATTGCTAGATTTTGATAAAGTGTGTTGTAACAGCAAGTGAGTGTTTTTATATTTGTTTTTCTTCTTCACTGAACTATTCCCATTCACCATTATCCTCGCAATATTTCCCCTGATATCAGTTTATGAGGATTTCTAACAGTCATTTACAGCGAAAATACATTTTAAGATAGATTTTTACGATCTCGCAATCTCCATTTTTTGTTATTCTTTTTAATTAAAAAAATTTAAATTAACTTATTTATTTTTATGGATTTATTTTTATTTAAAAATTTCGACAGTATGTTCACGAATTATAACGATGTTAAAAAATAATTATATAATATTTAATTAATATATATTATAGATATAATATTTAATTAATTATATTATAGATATAATATTTAATTAATATATAGTACAGTTCTTTTTTAGAGATCATTTTTACTGAAATTTTGATTAATTTAAATTTCAGTTTTACTGATATCTTTCATCTTTTAAGATTTAAAACTAAAAGAAAACAAAGGATTAGTAAGGCTCAATAGAGATATTAGAAAGACAAATTCAATCAAGATAAAATCAATGAAATCGTTTTGATAAAATCGGCTTACATCACCGGCAATCGATGAGTCATCAAATTTCATCTCACGTGTAATTTTGAAAACCGCGGTTAAATTAAATTCGTGCAGGACACTCGATACTTCTCGTAGAAATTCGATATCTCGAACGGCGTAACGCTAACGTCACCACGTTTGGCGCGGAAAAGCCGAAAAGCAAAATTCGCGCTTATTTATTTACAATAATATGGTGAGCCACGCAAATTGCGAATTCTCGTTCGGAAAAATCGACGGGGATGTGTGGACAGGTTTACGGAAGTATAAAGGTAAGTAACATAACAACTGTACGTTCCAAGGGGAGCGAATTCTCTACGAAATCGATTCCTCGGACCGGACCGATCGACATTGTTATGCCACCGGTTACGCAATTTCGCAGGTATTCTCAACGAAACTTAGGGCAGGTAGCTCACGGTCTCTCGTCGGGCATCGATACTCCGATATTCTTGCTCTTTTTTGGGGGGGAGGGGGGGCACCACCATTATAGAAAGTTGTTGCACCAGTATCGCTAGTTCTACACGCGTTCCATCTACATCTCTCTACAAGGTGCTGAAAAGCTACATATATGTTGTCGGGATCGAGGTGATTTGCATATCTATGTATTAATATATATGTGTACATTAAATACATATATATATATATATATATATATATATATATATATTTACACATATATTTATGCATAAATGCATTATGCTGTAAATTAAAAGCCAGTAATGATTAAAATATTAATACGGGATTCCTGTTTGAAATAAACACATATATGTTTGTAGATATTTATACATGTATGTATATAGCTATTATATTTAAACATTTAAATTTATGTCCTCTCTTGAGAATAATTTTTTAGCGAAACTTTTGAGATACTATAAATTCGCGAATGCGATTGACTTCGAATAACTTTTTTTTGCATTTTTATTAAGAAGCAATAAATTGACTACTTGTAATTTAATTAGTTGAGCATTCGTTTCACGTTGATTATGCAAACTTTGAGACTGTGTCAAGGATAAAAAGAAAATAAAATAAATATAAAATAAATAAAAAAGCACTTTACAGATAAGTTTGAAAAAGAATCTTTTT